AAATACCACTCCATTCTTGACTGTTTATTTAAAAAGAAAAAAAAAAGATTTAAAAAAGTAACCAAAATGGGGAAAAAACCAATACAATCAATACTATGTAGCAATAAATCAATAAATCAATAAATCAATAAGCCAATAAATCAATCTATCTATCTATCTATCTATCTATCTATCTATCTATCTATCTATCTATCTATCTATCTTTACACAAGTTTGTTCAAACATATTTCATTATAATTATCCATTTATAATCTGTCTGTAAACAACTTGTTTATGAGTCTCAAATACCATCACATCTTTAATCCACTGTGTAATTGGGGCCATAAATTTATTTTTCTGATGTTAATACTTCAGATCCCTGCTGTTTTCTCCACCATTCCATCATGTTTAAATAGAAGAAAAACCACTAAATATTTGACTCTGATACGCCAACCATCATTTGCTCTCTCTGTTCCTTTTTACGGTAACAAAAACGATGGTGTTTTCTACATTGTCCTTGCTAGCATGCTGCTCCAACTCAGAAACAACATCAAATGTTCAAGATTGATAGCTGTCAACAGACCTGTCCACCATGAGTTTATCTGATCTCCCTTTAAAGCCACCCAATGTAGTGGCTATTACTGCATTTGATAATGAATTCTAGGGACAAAGGATGTGCTTTCAAAAGTAATGCTTTCTTTGTTCTCCCTCAATTACATTCATTCAATGGCCCTAATGCAGTGTTTTTAAAACTTAGCAACTTTTAAGATATTTTGGGACCTCAACTCCCAGAATTCCCCAGCCAGCATCTTAAAGTTGCCAAGTTTGAAAAACACTGCCATTTTTTGAAAGACTACCCCCGCCCTCCAAAAAAAAAACCTTCTTCCAAAACCCACAATTTCATACTTTAATTCTAGCTCTGTGTGATCCAGTGGTGAGGTTCAATTTTTTTTACTACGGGTTCTGTGGGCGTGGCATGGCTTGGTGGGCGTGGCAGGGGAAGGCTACTGTAAAATCCCCATTCCACTAACCTGCTTTCCAGCTCTGTTCTCCTGTGCGGGGCAACAGAAGAAGACCCAGACATTCAGCTGGGACTCCGATCAGCTGGGACTCGGGAAGCAGTGAATAGATGGGGGCGGAGCCAGCCAGAGGTGGAGTTTGCTGGTTCTCCGCACTACTCAAAATTTCCGCTACCGGTTCTCCAGAACTGGCTGAATGCCACCTCTGGTGTGACCCATACAGCATAATCTTGTAATTTCCCAGGCCCCTTAACAAGGGATCTATCGATTAAACTAAAACCTTTTCTATGCAGAGCACATATCTTTCCCTCAACCGTGCTCCCCGCACCAAAAAAATCACAGCTGCTTGTAAAATACAAACAAATCATTTTTTAAAAAGTCTGCATCCCTATTAAATACTTATGAAAGAACTAAATCATCTACAGCCCTACTTTAAAAAAAAATTGCTTCCAAACCTCCCATTATGTGACTTTTCCTCCCTTTGCTCGTATAAAGATAATTTGGCTCAATAATTTAGCTCTGTAAGCTTTTCTCTTAGCCTTCCAGTTTCGCCTCCCTGCTGAGCTGTGTATGAATCTGGAGCTATCACAGGTTATCCTTACAGTGGTGTCCACAGCTTTTAGTCTGCTGCCTGAGGGATTCGGCCTCAAAACCTACCATCCAATTTCGGCAGTAAACCAAGGACAAGAGGTTTATCGTGGGGAGGAGTCGTTTAAATAAAACGAGGGTTTTTGGGTCTAAGTTTGTGAGTTATGCTTTCTCAGGAAGCCTCGGTCAAAACAGGCTTGTTGTGCAATTGCATTGCTGTGTTGGCTATTCACGTTCCAAATTGCTCATGCGATTTCCCTTTGTTTTTTATTGGGATATTTTTATGACATACTTGACCTGAATAGTGAACATCTGGCCTGGTGCTCATCCTCCTCGGATAACACAAGCCCCACAAATACATCAAATTAGTGCTTTCCTGGGGAATTATTATTATTATTATTATTATTATCATCATCATCATCATCGCAACAACAGAATTGTATCACAGCGGCCAGTTGTTTCGCCGGATTTGGCATTGATTACTAGTCGGGCCCCACCCAGGGACCTAGGACGTCGTAACGTATTTTCGTAATATGCGTGCAGATCCAAGCAGTGNGTTGTTGGGGGCGATATGCTGACTCTGTAAACCGCTTAGAGAGGGCTGAAAGCCCTATGAAGCGGTATATAAGTCTAACTGCTATTGCTAAAAATATTAAGGGTTGGAAATGGTGGGGATTTTGAGATACACACCCAGGATTTATTAAATATTGTTAATATTTGGCATTATTAGTAATCCTACACATTTGGAACATTGAAGTTGTGGTGGAAAAATGAGTAATCCGTAAAACATTAAATAATAGTATTTAGTAGGGGGATAACAAATACAAGGCGTATAGAAATGTTATGTATATTTAAATGAATCAATGGGGAAATGATAAAGGATTATAAAAAGAGCTGTTGAAGTTGGAAGATTAGGATGACACGTACCTATTTGTATTATCATTTTTAATGTTGTTTAAAAAAGACTTGACCCAGTCAATACGCTGTCCATAAAATATGTATGGGTGTGAAAAGAAAACTGCAAATAAAACATGTTTTAAAAAAATAAGTTGTAGATGCTCCATCACTGGAGGTTTTAAAGAAGAGATTAGAAAACTATCTGGAATGGTATAGGGTCCCCTGCTTGAGTAGGGGTTGGACTAGAAGATCTCCAAGGTTCTTTCCAACTCAATTATTCTGTTCTGTCTTGCTTGACTCAAACGATTAATTTAGAAAAATATAGAAGTCACAAATTCCTCATATACATGAATGAAGATTTCTGTCACATTTATGGATCAATTTTACAAGGTAGACTCATAGTTTATGTTTCTTAGATCCTTTCAGATTGGGATTACCGTAAATCAGGGGATAGAACTATTCATTTTAAATAAAGGAACTATTTTAAATGCAAAATAAAATATTTTCAGGTTGAAAAGCTCATATCCCTTGAAGAAAGCTAAGACATATTCCAAAGAAAATGTTCTGAAAGGCAGAAAAATTATCATGGGGATACCCCTGAAATACCACTCCATTCTTGACTGTTTATTTAAAAAGAAAAAAAAAAGATTTAAAAAAGTAACCAAAATGGGGAAAAAACCAATACAATCAATACTATGTAGCAATAAATCAATAAATCAATAAATCAATAAGCCAATAAATCAATCTATCTATCTATCTATCTATCTATCTNGTGAGATTTGAACAGCCGAACTGCAGAACTGCAGTCAGCTGAAGTAGCCTGCAGTGCTGCATTTAACCACTGCGCCACCTCGGCGCAGTGGTTACTGCGCCGAGGCACTGGACTCAGCTGTTCCTTCTCTTCCTAATCAGCCACATCCAGACTTGGGGGCTGTTGACTCGTCATCTGAGGACTGATGGATGGCCCAGGCTCCGCCTCTGTCTCTATCTCTGATGGCTCAGGCTCCGCCTCTGTCTCTATCTCTGACAGCTCGATTCCCTCTTCCCCCTCGGAGCTCCCAGGTTGCTTTGATGCTGACCCTGACTCCACGCTGCCCCCTCATCTGATTTGGCTGCTGGAGCCGACGGCTGAAAGGCCACAAGACCTTTGAATTCTGAAGGAAATGTCCATGCTCTGCTGTATGGGAGGTGGGCATAAATCTTTCTGCAGAAAATAAATCTAGGTACTCTGTCTGTGAGCTCACCAAAGCCTGTGAGAACTTTTGGAAAATCACACCCAGGCAGTTTACATAATTTTTAGACACTGGTGCTGAAAAAAACCTCCGATTCCAGACAATAATAAAAGCAAAGGGCCGGTAATTTCATAAACACTATAACCAAGTTATGCACAGACACGAAATGAACGGTTTTCAAATATAAAAGATGACTTCATTTCTTACACAAAGGTAACACATTGTGAGTTCCTCCCCAACCTCCTCACTGTCCTAATCTGCTGCCAGCTCTGTGTCTTTTCATTTCTTAACCCACCTTTTAAGATTGTTGTTGATTGTACACAGGCGACTAGAAAGATAATTCTGCTCACAACAGTCTGACATTAAAGTTTCTTTCTCTTTTTTTCTTTTCTTTTAAAAAGACCCCAAGATGACTCACTTTTTCCCTTCTGTACTTAGCAAGGAATTGAAAAAGAAACAGACAATCTGCTTCTTACCTTTTATTAATTATGCTTGGATTCGCTGTTACCAGTTGAGTTTTTGATCCTACATCCTTGCTGTATGCCTTGCTTAGGGGAGGGAGGTTACATCTGAAGGGAAGAAAAAAAGAAAAACCATATTATAATAAATTATACTTCTTATTCATACATTTGAGGGGTCCTTGGCAGAGGTGCTGTTCAGCAGGTTCTGACCCGTTCTGGAGAACCAGTAGCGAAAATTTTGAATAGTTCAGAGAATTGGTAAATACCATCTCTGACTGACCCCGTCCCCATCTGTTCACTGCCTCCCGAGTCCCAGCTGATCAGGAGGAGAGGGTTTTTTGCAGTATCCTTTCCCTGGAGTGGGGAGGGAATGGGGATTTTGCAGTATCCTTTCCCTGGAGTGGGGAGGGAATGGGGATTTTGCAGTATCCNCTCTATCTATCTATATATCTACCTACTCTCTCTCTCCCTCTACCTATCTACTGTATTTCTCTCTCTCTCTTTTTCTCTCTCTATCCTTCTACTACCAACCTACCTACTCTCTTTCTCTCTCCCTATCTACTGTATTTCTCTCTCTCTCTATTTTTCTCTCTCTATCCCTCTGCCTATCTATCTACCTACTCTCTTTCTCTCTCCCTACCTACCCACTGTATTTCTCTCTCTCTCTCTCTCTCTCTGTTTCTCTCTCTATATATATCCCTTTATCTACCTACCTACCTACTGTATTTCTCTCTCTCTACCTACCTACCTACCTACCTATTGTATTTCTCTCTCTTTCTCTCCCTTTCTATCCCTCTATCTACCTACCTACTTTTTTTTAAAATCTGCCTCTTCAAAATCTTGGTGTCTTATATGCCGAAAAATACGGTATACCAAGGATTAGGATCAATAAAGCTATGGTTATTTGAAAAATGTACTGATGCGGGAAAACCTGCTTCCCAAAGTCAGGAGACAGGACCACGAGAGTGGAGAACACAGGTTTATTGCTAGCAATGGTTCAGAGTAATAACTTGACAAAGTCCGAACTCCGGGCAACGGCCAAAGTTTTTATAGGTTTTACAATTACAACTTCCTTTACATACATCAAGGTACAATACATCAAAACAGGATACAAAAAGAAGACGTTATACTATAACATATATTCCATATAAAGTTAGAGCTAACGTATCTTACACCATCTGCTAGTTTTGGGAACTTTTCATGTGCCTTGCGCTACAAAATATTGTGGTACATAGGTCAGTAAACGTACAAATACATTTGACAAGAATTTCAATACTTTCCTAATATTGCAACAGAGATAGAAGCAAATAAGGGTCAATCTACTTAAGGTGTGAAATCAAATTAGGACCCTTGGGCCCATCTGCATCAGTACTACCGTATTTTTCGGAGTATAAGACCCACTGGGAGTATAAGAGGCACCAAGATTTTGAAGAGGCAAATTTTAAAAAAAGTTTTTGCACTCTGCAAACCCCACAAAAAATGACCCATTTTTCGTGAAAATGGGCCCATTTTTGTCAAAAAAAAAGGGCATGCATAGCCTTTAGGAGGCTTGTAGAGTGCTCCTGGGGGTTGTGGGGCAAAACCGAGCATAAATTGGCCCATTTTTCACTCGTTTTTGCCCTCCCCAGCCCCCAGGAGCACTCTGGAAGCCTCCTAAAGGCTATACACAGCCCTTTTTTACAAAGGGGGTTTTGGGAGTCCAAAAATGCTGTATTCAGTGTACAAGATGCACCCAGATTTTCACCCTCTTTTTTGAGGGGAAAAAGGTGTGTCTTATACTCCGAAAAATATGGTACATCATTTGAAACTTTCAAAATAGGAGTTGTTTTTAGAAAAGAAACTCTGGACCAGTTTTGGAAAGCAATACTTATCTTTCCCCCAAATACCTACTTAGAATAGGATGGTGTGTAGATGGGTGTTTATTTGTCAGCAGCAGGTTTCAATAGCCTTAATCAACTTTTTCATTTTAGAAAATGAAGTAAGAGAACTAGGAATATAATAAATTCCATTTGAAAGCCACTCTGTAAACCGTTAGAGAGGGTTATAACCAGGGGTGGGTTGCTGCCGATTTGCAACCCGCGCGCAATACACGCACGCTGTTCAATGGAAATTGTTCTGCATGCATGCGCAGAACAATTTACAGTGAACTGTGCACGCGCAGTCACTAAAATCTAACATGGGGGCGACATCAGCGGTTGCTAGGGAACCGGTTCGGGGGCATGTGAGGCCTGGATTGCTGCCGGTTCTGCGACCCAGGCCTGAATTCCACTACCAGTTCGGCCGAACCGGGCTGAACCAGCAGTAACCCACCTCTGGTTATAACACACTATAACAGGGGTAGTCAAACTTTTTATACCTATTGCCCACTTTTGTATCTCTGTTAGTAGTAAAATTTTCTAACCGCCCACCGGTTCCACAGTAACGCTGATTTTATGAAAACCTAATGTTTTTAAATAATGCTATGAAATTTTTTTTTAAAGTCGATTAAATTTAAAAAAAGGGAAGTGCTTCAGTATTGGACAAAACCCCTACTGTCCACCATGAAAGCTGGAACGCCCACTAGTGGGCGGTAGGGCCCAGGTTGACTACCACTGCACTATAAAGTGCTGTATAATTCTCTAAGTGCTAGTGCTAAATACTATAGTCAATATTAACAAATTTTAGCCTTCTGTTGTAATAGATTTCTTGGTTTGGCCTACACTGTGGGACTGATAAAATTTTAGCCTTCTCTAAACTGAGACTAGCAATTGCTCATGGTCCCATGAAACCTTCTCACACAACCCGGATATTCCCCCCCTCCAGTACTTAAGGAAAATAACTACAACAGCACTCGGGATTCTGAAACAGTATTGTACTGACTTTGTGAGAACACAATCATGAATCACTCACTATTAATCACTACTTGGCAGAGTCCTTCATAGTGTCCTACTGCTGTGGATGATTAACCCTACATAGTCAGCTGAATGGGGCAGAACGATGTGGTCAGTGACACATTGGGAAGAAAAGATGGAGGGTAGAACAGAATGTGTGTGTGTTTGTGTGCTTTCTTTATGTGCATGTTTGCTACATAGAGAAGACCACCATTCTTCCATCTCTTTGTATTCATTAAAATGGTCCCTTGTCCACTTAACTTACACTTAATGTTTTCATGCTTTGGTAACTTTTATTCTACCAAACTTTTATGGCAGGGGTGGCAAACTCAAGGCCCAGGGGGCCAGATACGGCCCATGAAGTGCTTAGATCTGCCCCACAGGGCCACCCTGGAAATAGTAAAAGATCGGCCTGCGGTGCCTCTGCCCGTGAAAATGGAGCTTGGGAGAGCTGCATATTTTCACTGGCAGAGGGTTGCAGGAGGCTGCCACAGCCAAAAACAGAGCTCAGAAGCCCGTTTTCACTGGCAGAGTGCTCTGGCCACCACAGCCACCCCGGACACGAGTGACATTGAGTACCTGTATTTATTTACTAATTTCGGTGTGGTGAAATGTACTCTGGATTCCCAGGGGTGAAGGGCTGAATTCCAGAGGAGCACAAAACAGTAAAATTTAGATAGTTGGTTGAGAGGAAGAGAGTTAAGAAGCTCTTCCTTAGGAGTTCCGACATTGCCTGTGTATTTATTTATAGGAGGAAAATGTCCAGACGAAACGTAATTTCTAATGATGGGTTTTCTCCTTTACCAGAGGGAGCCCCCATGTGGAGTATTGTGAAGTCATTACCAAGGCAACTCCATAGCACTGTACAATAGAAGCCATTTTAAGGCATACAGTAGAAGACATTTTAAGGCACAACAGGCTATATCTTAATAAAACACCCCCGAGGGGTGTTAAGGGTGTCTTACATTTTTCTCCAGAGAGTAAGTCATCTATGTACTGTTCTCAAACTCCTTTTCCATAGAGAAATCCCACTTTATCAGGGTACCCTAATAAACTGCTTATAGAATAGAATAACAGAGTTGGAAGGGACCTTAGAGGTCTTCTAGTCCAACCCCCTGCTCAGGCAGGAAAACCTACACCACTACAGACAAATGGTTATCCAATCTCTTCTTAAAAGCCTCCAGTGAGGTGGCAGCTACAATATCCAAAGGGGATGATTTATTAAGTACAGTGTGATACCAATTATGATTTACTCGTAATTACTCTGCCACAGAAAGGAAGGGGTCAAGCTATTTTCCAAGGCACCGAAAGGCTAGATGAGAAATAATGGATGGAAACTGATCAAGGAGCCATTCAACCTAGAAATAAGGAGACATTTTCTGATACTGAGAACAATCGACCCATGGAATAGAAGTTGCCTTCGGAAGTTATGCGAGCTTCATCATTGGAGGCTTTCAAGAAGGGACTGGACTGCCATCTGTCAGGAATGGTGTAGGGTCTCCTGCTTGGCTGGAGGGTTGGACTAGATGACCTACAAGATGACCTTCCAACTCTATTTAATGTAATGTAATCTAATGTAATCTTAATACTCAGCAATTTAAATAAGGCATGATGTGCAATCCTGACAATGGTGATGTGTTCAGCAAACTATCATTATATGTTCACAGAACATATTGGGAAAAGCAAACTAGCCTTCTACAACAAGAGTACATCTAAGGTCACTAACCTTTGGAAACAGTGAGAAGGTTTTGTTGTCAATTGTGAAGTAGTATAGAAATTCGCCATCGTACCAGATGCTCTTTCCCACCGGCGAATTTTGTTTCGTCATTGCAAAGAGATGGCTCGGATCGCAACAATCTTTGAGAAGTTTCCTGATAGAAAAGAGGAAGGAGATACGGTAAAACAACCACGGTAGATATTATGGTAAGAGGCAGGGACGGGATTCAACCAGTTTGCGCAAACCAGTATTTCCGGTGATCAGTCGGTCCTGTCCATTTGCCCCTCCACTAGTCTGTCCTATATTTCCTTTGTTTGAAGCCCAGTGTGAGCAAAGCACATGCTCTGTGAACCAGTTGTTACACCGTTGAATCCCACCACTGGTAAGAGGCATTTCTAAGCTTTCCGGAGCAGAATCAGGCAAATTCTCAACCCAAAACTGGTGGTAGGACCATGATCCAGATATGTTCTTTTTATAGGATAGTCTGTGGACACTAAAACTAATCCAGAGCTGTATGAGGA